GTCTAAATAACATTTTCTGATGTGATAGCGTTACAGTCTAAATAACATTTTCTGATGTGATAGCGTTACAGTCCAATTAACTCTTGACTTCAAGCTTCTTTGTTAAATTTCTGTTATATGTTTTCTAAATCAATGATGTTATATATGCAACCTTAATATAACTGTGCTCCATTGTCATCCTTACTTATTATTCTAACTTTATTCTTTGGCCTTGTAGTGAGGGCGCTCGACACGCAATCGAGGGTTTGAATCCCGTCACTGAAGATGCCCGCCCTTTCGGCCTTTGGGGTGTTATAGTATGGTGGGTGACGGAAGTTTCAATTTTCGTTGGTAAAGAGTAGGTCAAGTGTTGTTGTTGGTGCTAGCTGCCTTCTTTCTCTAGCTTATCACTTCTAAGTTAGGGACGACTAACGCAGGTATACCTTGAATTTCAACAAAACCAAACTATAGTTATATACTTATCTAATTATTTGTTATTGTTGTCGTGTTTATTTATTCAACTAATCGCTTTGAAATAAATACTAATTCACCAGTGAAAAGATGTTAGATTATAATAATAAATAAATATAAAAGTAACTCTAAAAGTCAGATTTAAATCTAATAACCTGAATATAAGCCCAGACAACACTAATTCCATTTTATTAAAACGATTAAGAAATATAGAAAATAATAAGATTGAAGAATGAGACTTATTAATAACAAAGAGAAGATTATACACAATATATATTGTAAAACTAATGTACAGTTTATCCGCGCACAAGAAAAATACTTAAATGTTCAAGAAAATTTCCATAAACCTACAATGAGAAATTTCATCTTATAGACACATTGTTGATTATAATAAATGTGGATTATATGCAACATGGAAATATTTGAGGGTAATTAGATACCTTAAATATTAATATATGAAAATTTGGATCATGTCGACATCAAGTATTAGATACCTTAAGTATTAGTATATGAAAATTGGGATCATGTCGACATCAAGCATTAGATACCTTAAATATTAATATATGAAAATTTGGATCATGTCGACATCAAGCATTAGATACCTTAAATATTAATATAAGAAAATTGGGATCATGTCGACATCAAGCATTAGATACCATAAATATTAATATAAGAAAATTGGGATCATGTCGACATCAAGCATTAGATACCTTAAATATT